CGGAAGACAAAGCGGATCAATTTTTTATTAGTCGTGATCAAAACTTTAAATCAAAATGTTCGTTTCATAAAAAATTCGCAAAAATTGCTTTTTTTCCGCTCGTTGTATACTCTGAACAGGTTTAGGGATAAAACTGGATTGCAGGTACCGAAAATTTTCCATGTCAACTGGTTCCGTAGAGATGCCAATGGAGATTTTCTCTGGCCTGGATATGGTCAAAATATTCGAGTAATCGACTGGATACTAAGACGTCTGGACGGTGATGAATCGATTGGACAGAAAACAGCCATTGGTATTGTACCAAAAGATGGTTCACTGAATCTTGAAGGCCTGGAGAACATAGATATGAAGGAGCTGATGAGCGTCCCAAAGCAGTACTGGCAAGAAGATGTTGCTGAAGTCCGAAAGTTCATGGATGAGCAGGTGAATAACACTACTTTGAGCTACGATAGTTGAAATGTCAAAAAAAATTCATTTCGTGATATAATAAAGTTATGGATTTCGAAAACATTTTTTCGAAAATTCAGGATTTTTTTTTAGGTTGAAAATCATAATTATTGAAAGCTGTATAAGCATTTGCATCTTTTTATTTGTTTTGCGTTCCGAGTTCAGTATTTTTTTAGCGCATTTTGGCATTTCCAGTTTATTTCAGTGCAATGACCACCAAGTTTGGCTCAAAATTTTATTTTCACTGAGTTTTGCACCCCTTTAATCAAAAAATGCTGTTTTTTGTTTCTCTCTTTAGTCGCTTTCCCCTGCAACTTGCTCGTTAGCTGACTTTTGGCCTGTTTTCCTACTTTTTTTTGGTCTCCTGCTTTTTTTTTGGTGATTTTCTTCCAGCAGCGACAATTTCGATGCATCCTTGTTTATTTTTGGAGCAAAAAGGACGCTTTCTTTCCGTTCGGAGAAACGCTATTACGTTATTATTTTTGCAGTACTGCGTGGAATTGATCGAAGTTTTTTTATTTTTTACTGCTGTTAGAATTCCACGCACCAAATCGCTTGGAAAATTTAGTTGCAGGACAGCTAAAAATTTATCTCCTTTATGTAATCAAGCGTGCATTTTTCGCTGCGAGACAAACAAAAAAAGCGAATGTCCTTATGGGGAATGTCGCCACAAATTTTTACCTTTCCGAAAATTAGTAACGAATTTTTCATCTGTTCAATTTTTCTAATGAAATTACCAGGAGAAAAGCTGACAGGCTGTTATGGGCTATCGAAGAAACTAGCGTCCCCCTCTTTGCTCTTTTTTCTTTGTAAGAAACTGAAACGTATTAACTTGCACTTTTGTTTTCGTTATGAAGTTTTGCATGAGCGGTAAGTCGAAAAATAACTTTTTTCACTTTCTAGGGTACTTTCATAAAAAACAGTTTTGTTTTCTTTCCAATTTCCAATTTTTCATGGACTTTCAAAGTAGGCGTTCCTTGTTCTCTTATAATCTTTGTCTGAACTTTTGCAGAAAACAGGTTTGTCACCAATTTAATGCAACAGTTGCTCGGGCAATTTTCAGGTTGGACCGGATTTGCCGAAGGAGGTGCGAGCTGAAATGGAGCGACAGTTCGAGCGAATAGCTGCCTTGTGATTTATGAAACGGACAATTTTGACTTATCGGCATATTCTCACCATACTGACTCGATTTTTAATCCTCAGATTTATCAGTGTTGCGGGCTTCAGGATACTTTTAATGATAATTAGTTATTAATTTTCTAACTAATACATTATTTCTGGGGAAAAAAGCGTGACATTCAAGGCCTTTTTTAGTTGACTTTTTTTAAAGAACGTTATTTAGTGACTTGTTCTGATACTGCGCTTGATCGCTCTGTTGGAAGCATAAATGACCCTTGATTTGCTTCAGTCGTGAAAGATCTTTTTCGCTTTTTCCGTTCCTCTCTCTTTCTCTGCATCATCGATGCCTCTTGTTTCGAGGAAATAACCACAGAATGTCTGTACGAAAATTTCTAGATTTTCAACATCACCAGTTGTTTTTCTTTAATCATTTTTATGTGAGATTTAACAGTTATGGATGTATGAGTTGTGAATTG